AGAAAACTCTCCCGAAGCTTATCAGTCAGGATGCAATTAGGGAAAGAGGACCTCTATGAGTAACATCCAGATAGATACAATAGGCATTCGATGTTATCCAGAGTGGGGCCTGGGCACAGTCTATGGAAGGCGGCTGTCTTTGTGTCTGATGCTGGAGCCGGCAGTCAGCAGGACAGGCAGTCAGGAAGGGAAGGTGGATGTCAGGTGGGAGAGCAAGGATGAGCTGGAACCCCGCGAGACACCGGTGCCTGGGACAGTCTCTGAGCCCTTCTAGGGCTCTGATTCGGTGGAGGAGAAGCTGCTGCTCTTCTTCATGGAACTAGCAAAGCTTCCGGCCCAGGAGTTGGAGGAGCTGAAGGAAGACCCCATGGGAGCTGGAGGGTCTAAAGACCAGGGGCTGCCCACACGAACCAGGTGAGCTGGCAGGTGGGCTGCAGTGGTGCCTGGTGCCCTGCACCCCCCTTCCAGTGTAAAAAGGATACGGCTGTGGCTTTACTCCCACCTTCTAATTTTGATGCAGCCACGCTAACTCCGAGAAGGGAATTCCAGGACATGCAGTGCCAGCTTAGCTAAGTTGGTCCTATACAAGTCCACGCCACTATGTCATCTTGTTTTAAATGGCTGTTTTGGCTTAAACACACTGTACTCAGTGGAATCCATTTAAACTCCCAATATAGAAACTGAGGGAAATAAAATTAGCACCTACAAACAGTAAGGAGAAACTTGGGCTTTTCTAATTATACAGGATCTGCTTTGAAGTCAAGCAAGGGATACTTTGAGATTCATGCTCTTCACATATGTGGTAGCTATTTAAATTTTATGAATGGAGCTGCTGCTTTTTTAGAGGTCTGTCTGTCTTTAATGAGTTGAAAATCTAAGCAAAGGACTCTAGGGTTCTGCTCTAAAGATTTAAGAAATGGGTTTGATATTGTCATCTGAAGGCCACTTCTTTCAAAAGTACAGTGACATTCTGTACTCTAGCACAAAGCCGTTTTGAAGTTTGCTTTTATGAAAGGCAGGCCAGATGATTACAGACACTCTTTTGAATCAAACCTTCTTTCCCAGTATAGAGCATGTTGGTTTAACAAACATTTATTTTACTAGACCTAAGGGGACAGGGAAGTGGCCTGTATTCCAGTCTGGTAGCATCATTAGGAAGTGGCTCATGTATTTGGACAACATCTATTGAATTCAAATTATATGCAAAATGCTGGGGTTATAGTTGTAAACAATACAGACCTACTCCTTGCCCTACTGAGCTGATGTGCTGTGGTGGATGAGATACATTAAGCAGCTATTGGTTTATGGCGATGAGGAATCCTTGATGACAGATGATAAGCGCTTATAATGGGAACTGGATTGTGGGGAGAGCTGGGGTCTGGGAAGGCTTATGATGACATCGTCATCGGAAGCATAGGAGGGAGTTAGCCTGGTGAGAGATGTGTGTTCCAATTAGACGCAGCAGTATGCATGAAGACTTTTAGGAGAAAAATAGTTTCATGGCTTAAAAAATTGAAAAAAGGCTCACAGAAACTGTGGTATTAATAAGAAGAGGTAAGAGAAGTTAGGCGTGGCCTTGCAGAATATGCTGAGACAACGAAAGATTTTAAGTGGATCGGGGCCATAGGAGCATGAAAAGAGAATGGACAACATGACCTGATGTCCCTGTTGGAAAGATTACTGTGAGAGTTAATTTTATGTAAACTTGACTGGGACACAGGGTGCCCAGGCATTTGGTCAAACGTTACTCTGGGTGTCTCTGTGAGGGTATTTCTGGATGAGAGTAAAATTTAAATCAGTGGACTCAGTAAAGCAGATTGGATGAGGCCCATCCACATTAGAACAAAAGGCTGAGTGAAAGGGAACTCTGCCTGACTACTGAGCTGGGACATTGGTCATCTTCTGCTCTTGGACTAGAACTCACACCACCAGCTCTCCCGGATCTCCAGCTTGCTGACTGCAGATTAAGGACTTCTCGGCCTCCATTATCAGGTGAACAATTCCTTATGATAAATCTCCTTATATATATATTGTATTAGTCAGGGCTCTCCAGATATACAGAACCAACAGGGTGTGTGTGTGTGTGTGTGTAATATTAACCCAATATATATTTATATCTGGCTACAGAGTGGAGAGTGGGTAGGGAGGGGCATGAGGGCTCCAAGGAGAAGAGCTGGAAGTCTCTGGCTATCCAGGTGGGAGAAGATCGGAACTTGGATTTGGTGATGGAATTAGTCAGAAATGACTTCCATTGTTGTGAGTTTTATAACTGGTATACTCTGTGGGTCAGCCACGGAGACAGGAAGAGTGTAGGTGGAGTACTTTCAGAGTGTAAGGGTAGGAAACTGCGAGTGGAGTTTAGACGTGCTGAATTGGAGGTTTTTGAAACGTCTGCTGGGAGTGTGGATCTGCTGGCTAGAGACGGAAATGGGGGAGGTGTGTGTGACTGTGGTTGGGAGCATATTCCTATGATGCAGAGTTACTGACAGTGTGTATACACAGCCTCAAAAACCTCTCTGAGCACATACTCAGAGTCTGGGGTGCCCGCTGACTCGTTCGGGCTGCCCAGACTGGGAAGGTGCTCTGAGAAATGGTGTCTAAGCCAAGTCACAATGTAGTGGCGTCCTACTGGGGTGAACATTTCCTTTGAAATGTACTCACTCTATAGCTAGAGACAAAGCAAGATCATGACCAGAGTTCCAAAGTGTCCTGACTCCATTGCCCTCTGAGGTGGTCTCACAGTTCTTGTGTGGCCCAGGGCCTGTGACAAGGAGAAGCTTGTTTGCGTCTCCGAGGTTTATAGGAAGCCTGGGGGAGATATTTCCTCTCTGGAACCATCATTTCCTGACACATTTCTGCACTCATTTGAAATCTCTCCTTCTCTGCTCAAATTGCATTTCAAGTACCTGTGAAACATGGGGCAGCAAGTGTCCCTTTCCTCCGCAGTTATACTCGGAAGTGTCATGAATCAAAAAAATTCACAAAACTTAAAACGCTATCACAAGGTCTGTTTCTAGCACTCAGAGAATAATTTATTTGCTGTTGGCATTATCAGTTTGTTCTCTCTGTTTCAAGCTCATTTTTTGTTGAAATTGTTTTTGTTGAAACAGTGATTACTTACCCAGATTTCTCATTTTCATTTCCTTCATCATAAGAATCTACATTAATCACTTCCAAACCAAGACAAGCTTTTAGATCATATTTTGCTCCCATCCTCAGAGAATGGAGACAATAGCTTTTATTACTTTGGGGAGCGACCTTCAAAACATCATAAAAACCAGGTAATGTATGTGGTAAGTGAAACAGCAAAGGGTTGGCACCGGTCTTTCCTAGGAGAGAGCAGGTTCACAATAACACCAACACCTAGGGTTACTGTGTGTGTTCTTTGTTTGAGGGGGAAAAAGTGAATTAGATAAAGCTATGATTGAAAGGGAAAACTGAAATTTAGAAAAAGGCTGATGGGAGGACATGTAAAGTTGGTGGTCTTTAGTCAACTGAAGTAGCTGCTTTCAGGGAGTTCTTGGATTGGCTAAGGCCCATGGCTGGGAAATTTCCATTCAATTAGAATCACATGGGGAGCTTTCAAAGCTTGGGTCATGTCCCATAAAAATTAAATCAGAATTCAGGACATCTAAATTTTCAAAAGTTTATCTATGCCATTTTTAATATGGAACCTACCATCTCACTGATGGGAATAGAATGGTTATGATTTTTTAAAAAAATTTACTTATTGATGAGAGAGAGAGAGAGACAGAGAAGAACATCAATTCGATTTGCTGTTCCACTTTTTTATGCATTCATTGTTTGATTCTTGTGTGTATCCTGACCGGGGAACCTACAACCTTGGCGTATCAGGACAACACTCTAACCAACTGAGCTACTTGGGCAGGGCCAGGACACTTACAGTATTGCTTTTGGGGGAAGAGCAACCCAAGCTGTGACCCCAGGAATGAAGTTAATGTACTTGATAAAATGAAGACCCACACTGCCTACCCTGTAGGTTCACTGTACACAGGGCCACTTGCATTTTGGGGTGCCGATCTTATGATACTGTGTATATAAACCCTTAGCATATCAGTGAGGCTCTATTCAAAGAGTATGTATGTTTCTCAAACAATTTCTTCATTGATCTGATTTCTTCATTGATCTCTCTCTCTCTCATCAGTAAGTAAATTTTTAAAAAAAATTGTTTCTCAAACAATTTCTTCATTAGCTCTTGTTGAATCTTCAAGAGCTCCAAGTTGGATTCCTATTTCAAGAAAACGATATTTTAGCTGTACTCTTTTTGATAAACGCAAACAAACCAACAGGCATGCTGAGGAACCTGACTTGCTTCAGTGTCATGGGCTACTGTGAAGTCATGGTGAGATTTCGATGCCAGACAACTGTCAGAGCATGGCACTGGCTGCCATCACTCCAAGCACTGTGGCTCATTTAGGTTTCAGCTTGAACATTCATAATGCTCCTCTGATCACAGTTTCTTGTCACCTTTGTGACTCATCCTGTATTTCTGAGTTAAGCTTTATCATGGTCTGATTCAGAGGAACCTCAAATGGAAGCCCAGTGTCAAGTGCCCTTGACAGATTTAGATCCACATCTCATCAGTGGACTTATGTGACACGCCCTTCACAGTGGGTGCTTTCCATGTGTATTGTCTCATCTGATATTCACCACCAGCCCCCATGTGTGAGAAGAGGCAGTGGAGGGTTTGAGAGGTTATGTGTCCTGGTGCAGACCATGTGCCTAGAGAGTGTAGATCAAAATGTGGCCTCCTGATTCCTAGCTGATAGGTTTTGATGGTTGAAAAGCAGTTCTATATATCGGGTAGAAATCTCATCGTGTAGCCTGCTGTATCATCTAGAGTTTCCATAGGCTAGCACTTCAAATTTATAAAGACAAGCATTTGCTTTTTTACAAGCACTTTGGTTCTCCTGAGGTTTCCTTTATCCAGGCGAAGGAGGATCTGCACCAGGCCTTCAGTGAGATGACCTGAGCAACCTTCCCGGCCATCTTGCTGCAACAAACGGTAGGTCCACCTGCCCCACCCCCTAACCTTCCTCTTTGTATGTCTGTTCCCTTCTCATCCTCAAGGTTCACTTAAATGCCATCTTTTTAGAGAGGCCTTCCCTGATCACTCCTCCTCTCATGCAGTGCCATTCCCTCATGCCACTGAACACAATTTGTCATTATTTGCCTGTTTACGTGTTATCATCTCTTTCTCCCTCTAGAATAAGATCCTTGAGGGCAGGAATTCCACTAGATTTACAGCCAGCATCAAGGATGTCGCCTGGGTAGGCAATGCGTATTGGTGGAATGAATGCACCACTTTGATTCTGCTGCCTAGCACGGAATACAGTGCTCTCGTGATGATCTGAGCAAGGCCCAAGGCTGCAAAGCTCTTCCCTTTTTCTCCCTTTACCTTCTTGGTATGATTCTGGACTATTTCTTATTGTAGTGTAATTACATTAGAATTGGCAGTCACACTAGCATGATCTCATACTGAATTTAGATCAACAGGATAACATATGTCCCTTGCTTTGTGGCCCATCTCGCCAGTAACTACTTCATTCTACATTTGCGCTGCTAAGGCTGTGGTATCCCCTCTTAAAGATAATTATCTGAATCTCCTGGGAGGGGGTGTAGGATAGTGGTTTAAAGCTTGACCTTCAGTGTCAGGAGTTTGAGGTCAGGCACTTCCGTCTACTGGGTGTCTGACCCTGGAAAAGTGGACAAGCCTGCTTGAGGCTCAGCTGTTTCTCACATCCAACAGTGATGCCTACCCCCCGACAGGACTGTTATGAAGCTGAAATGTGGAAATGTAGGTGACGCTTTAGTCAGGTACATAAAATGGGATGGTCATGATGGTCAGTGATATGTTTTTATTACTGTATTCATCCAGATAAAAACTGTCACACCTACTCATCCCCCCCTTACTCTATGGTTAGAATGAATGAGTTTCTCCCCCCCCCATCTTTAATCCCCTCTGACTTCCTTAACATTTCATCACCCACAAGAGGCAGCCTGGTTAATCTACTGGTCACACGACAGACTTTGCAAAAAGCTGGAATGCCAAGAGTAATTTTATTCCAAAATGTTCAAAGGCTAGTGGCCAAAGAAGTCCATTTTTCCTCAAAAAAAAAAAAGTTTTGACCATTATAAGATTTGCTAAAATGTCAATGACTTTAAGAGGGGAAAATCCTGACATATTCTCTCTGCATTTGTCAATTACTTTTCCCAAAGTTAAAAACTGATCACAAATATTGTGCCTTCGTGTAACATGAGCTCCAGAATGGTGATTAGAAGCTGGACTTTGGAGCAAATCGTGTTTCTCAGAACTTGAGGTTTCCAAGGTGACGGTCTTTATAACTACAGATATGATAATTGCAGTTTCCAGAGGTACTCTCTCTAGTCCTTCCTACACTCTACCATCTCCAAAACATTACACTTTTTACACTGAGAGATTCTTTCTCAAGTGAGAAAGGAATTAAATAATTGATTTGAATATCAGGGAAATGTTGTACATTTCCACACTCCCAGTGCTCACTAATGACAGTAATAACTCTCAAGTTTCCCCAATAAGATCTAAGGGTCTCAGACGTTTAATGGCCCATGCAACTAACCTGAGTCCACGTGTAACAGAGCCAGGCTGTCTATTATTTTAACAAAGAATGAAAATTAAGGAAGTCACAAATGTTATTTAGGTTTTTCCTTTAAGCGAAATCACTAGCTTTGACCTGCATTGGAAGTCAGCTCAACCCTGTGGGACAGTGTATTATAGCAGAAGGAGCACTGGACTAGATTCTTATGACCAGGTTTGCCACTAAATTGTCATGGGGCAATTGTATAAATTTATACAGTGAGAGGGAGGGGTGGAGTAGCAGTGCCTCTCCCAGCCCTAAAATATACTTCCTACGCTTTGTTACAGGCTTTGGGAGATTAAGAGCAAGTGGTCATGATATTCTCTCTCTCCTCAATGCTGACACTCAGTAGACTTCCTACAGAAGACACTGCATTTGTTCATTTATATGTTGTAAAGGAATCCCTGTCTGTGGGGACCAACAGGTAAGCTACATAGCTCTAAGAAAGCCGAAAAATGGAAAATAGTATCTCATATCTGAATAATCATGCTTCATTCAAGTTTAATTTTATAAAAGCTATTTAATAAAAAAATATTGCATACTTCCATGTATTAGGCACTGTGCTAGTAAAACAATTCTAGTCATTATATTATTAATATTATTAATGATCCCCATTTTACAAACAGGAAGTGAGGCTTGGGGATGTTAACCCTAAGCTCACACAGCTAGGAGGGAGCATCAGAACCCACGTTTTAAAATGCCACCCTAAAACTGGCTTCATTTACTGAGCATGAGCAAATGTTAAGATTAAAAGGACTAAGTTTTGGGGCTCTAGGACAAAAGTAAATTATAAAAACAACTTTCTTTCAACTCAAGGTGCTTCCTTTTTGGATAAAGGGATGTATCCATTTAAAATGAAAGCAAATGGTTTCTGTTTGATATTAATTGAAAATTTCTATTTGCAGTCTAGCCATGAAAAAAATAATTGGTTAATATCTGTTTTGTAATTAATTTGGTTAGTACATATTTTGCAATTTTTCACAGCCCATTTCAGTATCCTCTCTTAGTTAAAAGAATAGCACAGGAAGCCTGAAGTAGAATTTGAAAGCAGTATGGAGAGAGGCCCATGGGTGGTAAGCTGGTGGGTGAACGAAGAGGAGAGCACTGTTTGGAGAGTGACTCGTGAATGTTAAACACTAATGACCACTGTGTTTCTGGACATTCACATGGTCCAGAGAATCTTTAGGGTGTCCTCCCCAGTATGTGGCACAATCCCTATTGAACATCTGAGGTTCAGGAAGGTGGAGTGATTTGCTCCAGGCCACTGAGTCACTGCCTCTTAGAGGTGGGATGCAGGTTGACCAGGACTATCTGGCTTCAAAGTTGCCTTCTCAAGACTTCCCACGGAATCATCAACTATCACAGAAGATGAACACGTTCCTCTGGGGCACAGGACCCCACTAAAAGGCAAGGGTTTCATTAATGTCTCTTCTACTCAGCTTAAAGTTATGTGATCTAGTGTTCTACAGCATAAAGGCTCCCTATTTAATGGAAAAATAGCGATTGGTTTATCATTGGCTAAATTATTTTATTTCTACCTTACACTCTTTAGGCAAAACATTTTCCAGGAAGACATGTGAAGGTTGCCCTGTGGTTTCGTGCATCCTAGTTCAAGAAGCAGTGGTGAGTGACACCTCACTCGTAGCTGTGTTACTTTGGATGCCTACCTTCTCTGGACCTTAACTTATGCATCTTTAAAACAAAGGGAATGATGATTCTAATAGCTGCCTTATAAAGCTGTGTTTACCTAGTGCTTCGCAGGCCCGGACTATTCCACCATAATACAACTGTGAAATTAGGGGGACAAAAGGTCTCAAACATGGCTTGATTGCTAGAGATGTAGAAAAAAATCATTCCACTCACTCCTCTCTTGCCATTGTCTTGATTAACGGCTCCCTGTTAAAAGCATGATTTCATTCCAATCTGCAGACAGCCTTTCGGGATACGCTGCTCTTCATCTCAGTTTGAGAACAAGGCCGAATGGTTTTACCATCCGGAGTAGCTCACAAAGTCGCAAAACGCAGAACAATTGCTGGTCGGTTTTTACTTCAGATCCTTCAGCGGGGTGGGGTGGGTGGTCTGTTTTAGTCATGCCTATGACTGGTGTCGAGAATATTGCTCATTTCTCTGCTTTTCATGTGTTTGTTAATTTTATTACATGGCAACTGGAAGTGGAGGGAAAAAATGCTTGTACATTTCTACCCCTGCTTTCCCACTGGGATTTAAATTAAAGCTCACCCTAGGACTCAGGACGTCTCCTCGGAAGATGGAGATGGGAGTGATAATGATAATAAAAGCACTATTTATAATATTCACTGAGTTCTTCCCGTATTCCAAGACTTTGCCTAAAGCCTTTGGGCATCACCCCATTTAATGCTTGCTGCAACCCCAAGAGCTGTGTCCTAGCATCATCTCCATTTAGCCAAAGAGACAGGCCTCAGACCTCAGTCTTACTGTTTCTAAGACCTTTGTTCATGGTTAGAAACATTTCGGTTCATACATGTGGGAGATTTTCACTTGAGGGATAGAGAATAAAGCTGGGTCTTGCTCTCAAAGGAATAGTCATAGTATATAACAATGTGCTGTGCTTTACGCACAGCCACAACAAGGTAAGTAAACACTTCTTGGGAAAATCCAAGAATGATATATAGCGCATACTATATTTTGATATAAAGCAAATTGTTTACATGGTGCAGATATCTCTGCTAACAATAGTGTTTATCAAGATTATTTATTACAAGGCATTAAAATAAATCTGTTTTTCAATTACTCTCTAATGAAATGTACCAATTACCTTTTGAATGGTGACATATGGCTGTAATTTATTCCAGTGGGGATGAATCTTATTTATACAAGGTTTCAAGGGCTCGTCCTGAACTACATTAATTACTGATGTAAACAAAGATATAAGATTACTATCACATTTATTGACGAATCCTGAGCCTCACTGCAATATAGTTCTCTGGGTTAGGTGACATTAATCATCAGGTGATTTCCAACAGTTATGGTGCAAAGATGTTGTAAAAGGGATGTTTCTACAAGCGGGCTGACTTTGGAGCTCATTCAGTAAGGTGGTCAAATCGTGGGGTAACTGGGGAAGAAGTCACACAGTTGTTGTGCACAGTCTAGTTAGAAAATAATGCTCTTAAGCAACCAGCTAGCTGTTGGCTGACCAATGAATAAGTACCACGGAAAATGTCAAGCACTATTTCACAGAGCTTTGCCTGGGGTGTGTTCAGGAAATACTAGCAGGCCACCACCAGTGCCAAGCCAGTGAAGTGGCGCTGCCTCTTGGAGAGTTTGTCCTGAGTGGGCTATTAATTTAGTAAGGAATTGGGAAGGGAGACTGAAAGCGGAGCATTACTATGGTTTCTGAGCACAGGAAAATCTATTGACCTTGGAGTTGAGACCATTTCCTTCCCCCTTTGATGCTCCTGAGTCACCCTGGGTCTCAGAGCAGACTGTGGGATTTGCCATGAAGTGCTCTTCCTTGTTTCTGTTTGGGTTTTTAGAAACTTCGCCACGCTTTGCTGTACCATGTACTCTATGACGATAATAGCAGCAGTGACCTCCTAGGGTTTCGGGAAGATTAAATGAGATAGTGAATGTAAGACACGTAGTACCGGGGACTCCGGATTGGTCGGTTTGAATAGGAAAGGTGTGCCTACAGGCAGGTGAGTTAGCTAACCCTGGGTGAGACAGTCCCTCCCGGCCAGGCCCCAATGTCAAAGCATCAGAATACAGAACAGTACAGATAGGATTAATACCGATGCAGAGGGATCTCTTCAGAAGATAGGGGACAAGTCACTGGGGTGGGGGGCACGTCGTGTACAGAGCCACTGAGGCATAAAGGAGCCCGGTGGTTCTGCGGAATGANGGGGGGCACGTGGTGTACAGAGCCACTGAGGCATAAAGGAGCCCGGTGGTTCTGCGGAATGATAAAGAATGTTGTAGCTGGAGGAGAGTGTGCACGAGCCGAGCCAGGGTAGAAGTTGGAACTGGAGTAAATACCTGCACGAGGAGCCTGGATCTCACCTCCAAGTGCAGGGCACCGTGAGAGCTGCCTGACTGGGTGTACTGGTGATCAGACAGGGGGTGTGCCTGAGGCTCCCCTAGAGCAACCCACTGAGAGCCCTCTCAGCTTTTCCAGGCATGGCTGTAGGTGGACCTCCTTTGAACTATTTGCTGTCAACCTGCTGCCCAGGTCAAATGCTTTAGATGTTTTCCCTTTAAAAACATTTAATGCATTAATTTTACACATGAGGGAAAATCATATTACATCTCACCACCTAATTAGCCAAACCACAAATACATTTTCAGAAACAAAGATGACTCATGTCGTTTCCTAATTAAACCTTGCAAGGTTTAATTATGAAGCATAACTTGGAGACATCTCGGTCGGGGGAACTGGGGCTCAGCTTCCTGAACGTGCACACAGAGCCTCCCTGCTCCTACTCCTCCCCCCACGCAGCCCTCTCCGGGGGCTGGGGGTGTTTTCCTCATGCACGACACCCCGTCTCAGGGACAACGGGGAGCTGGGTACTGGTAAGGAGCAGCCTTTTAAGAAAACGACTAACATTCAACTACCTCAGTGTACAAGACGCAGAGAACACACTGGCGCACCGGTGACACAGGAAAATAAAGCTAACAGTGCACTCTGCATTGATACAGCAGTCATTCCTCACAACCAATCTGCGAAACGTGTTATTCCCATTTTTCAAAGAGGCAAACTGAGGCACAAAGGTGACAGGCAGGGCTAAGACCACTTTTCCGACTTCAGGGCCCTCTCTCCAACACAGTCCAGGTCCCTCTGGGGCTCAGTGAGAAGCCAGTGAGCCTTGGAGAAGAAAACCTGCATTTGGAGTTGAAGCCTCAGTTTCTCATCCTTTAAAATCGGTTAATAAGACCTTAGGAGATACTTGTGAGGTTTGAATAAAATAAAGGATGTGACCCTGACATCAAAGATAGCCCTTGTTGCAAATACTTCTGCTACCAGTACTGTCCTTATCAACATCAGACAAGGTTAGCGGGTCCCCACAGGTCAAGGTATGTAGGAGCACTGTGGGGGTCGCTCAGAGGCCAGCCAGGGAATTAAAGTATGAAGTCTATGTTGCAAAATTTTCTAGTAAAAAAAGATGTACACATAATTTCTGTAATTTACTAACAAACAGTGTCTTCTTTCTACATGTGTTGTCAGTGCCCTGCTCATAACCATGCAAAGGCTTCTTAAATGCACTTAAGAATTAATTTTAAAATCCTGACCTTGGCTACCTATGAAGCCCTATAGGATTTGACCTGTC